ATTGCTGATTTTGAGCAAGATGGCATTCTGGATAGCTGAAATGCACATTTTGAGAAAGAAAAGTTTACATTTATTTTGAAGATTCAGTCTATCAAAATTAAATTTATTGCATTGTAGGGAAGCCACAAAGTAAAATGATCCAACCACACCTAACAGCTATTGTTTCATTATGAATTGTAGAGACTTTTCTTCGTCATCCAATTTACTAAGTATTATATCCAACACAATGTATAAGAGAACTACAGTAAAACGCCTCTTAGAGCACCCAAAGAATGTATATACAGTATATATACACATACAAGGTAGTCAAAAACTGACAGAACTGTACAATACAATYTTTTATGCAATTGTATCTTTCAAATTATTTTACACAACATATGAAATGGCAAAGTTTTCTGCATTTTTATGTCATGTTTATTTTTTGTTTGAAAATATATTCAAGAGCCTCTGCTAAAAGAAACAGGGAAAACTGTCAACCTGTACTCTTTGTTATTAACAATAAAATATATTTCATTTATTTTGATTTTGTRACAACCCTTAACAGATTGGGACTTTTGTAAGGCCAGGAAAAACACAGGAGAAATAAATAAGGTAAACAAAAAATACTTTTCCTGATATAATGCCTGAATGACTTGTGCATATTGTAATTGTTATTTTGTCTTTCTCTAGAACTTCTCTTCTCTATCTGGACAGCAGGTAGTAAAAAAGTATCATGATCCTATGTGGATACGGAGGTTTTAATATTAAGATCGCAGCGCCACAGTCCCATTGTTCACAGAACACAAAGGAATTTTGACTAAACAGGAATGAAGCTTCGGTTAGTTTTTTTTCCTCTTGGCCTTCTGTCTTCTCAGCTCTTCTTCCTCTCGTCTCTCCTCCTCCAGGTCCTCCTGAACGGCCATTTTCAAGCTAAAGTAGCAGAGCATAACTGAATTAAACACAGCGGCAAAAATAAATGTGCTGCATGAAGAGCTTTATTTTCATCCAGTTACCTCCTCGCTTCTTCTTTCTGCATATCTTTCCAGCTGCTCTCCATGAATTTAAGTGCATAGTCGCTCTCCTCTTTGTATCTGAAGAGTTTAAACACAAGTTTAATAGAAATTTTGTTTTATAATTATGCTGTTCATACAACGTTGTAACCAAAACCCACTTCCCACACGCCCACACACAAAACCTGTTTGCACAACGATGCCAGGTGCAAACATTTGATCAAAAACACTCAGTTTCGGGAACATTMTTTTCAAGCTGAGGAAAAGACTTACTTCGATCGGTCGTAACCAAAAATCTCCCGAATGTGCCTGGAAATTTCCTCYTGCTCTTCACCTTCATCATCAATAAAATCATCCATTTCTGGGTCGTACTCTTCCTCCTCATCCTCATATTTCCTCTTGTAGGCAGATGTAATGGGTGGCAACATTGGCCCTAGATTACAATAATAATAAAATATATATATTACACGCACGTTTGAACAGTTGAACAGTTTTATTTTGAAACAGAAACGAGCCAGAAAATCTCGCTCGGTGAAATCTAAACACGAGGCTTGATAACACGGACACGTTTTCGTCTGGTTTCGGTGAAGTTGCCGCTCTGTGACCCAGTAATGTCAGGTTGCCACAGTGCTGCTGACACAGTTGGGTTTAGCAAACAAACTGACCTGCATGCAGTGTGTAAAATTTTAGAGAGTATAAATTTAAGTGCATTAGTGTTTAAAACAAAACAGTGTGAAAACCCTATGAGCTGAAAATAGTAACAGGATTTTAAAAATCCTTTCCCCCCACCCTCTTTTTACGCTACAGGTTTAATAAAAGTAGTTGACAGTTTAATGAACGTAAAAAAATAAATAAATGAAGCCTAAGTTTACAGGTGACTCTTTAAATTATTGTATAAATGACAGAAATGAGAAGTTACAAACGCAGTGATCCTGTTCTCGGTTCTTACCCGGGGGTCTGTTCATCATCGGTCTGGGTGGCATTCCTGGTCTGGGAACCATCCCAGGTCTCTGTTGCATGCCTGGCCGAGGGGGGACCCCCGGTCTGGATCCTCCAACGTTCTTGGATGAGATGGTTTCCGACACGACGGTGCACTTTGGTCTTCCGGGTCCTGATCCGAGACTTCCAGTCGGGCGCCCTGGTACCGGCCCTCCACCACCAGGTCTACCCGGTCCAGCTCCCGGAGGTCGAAGCCCACCCCCTCCTGGGTGACCGTGTGGGCCGCGGCCACTGGGCCTGACCTGCGGTGCGCTGCCGGGTCTGGCCTGAGCGGTGCCTCCGGGCCTTCCCTGAGGGTGGCCTCCTGGTTTAGGAGGAGCGCCCAGAGCTGGTCTCATCCCCGGACTGCTGCTGGATTTAACCACCGAGTTATTCCCAGACCTGATGGGTTCTCCTTTGCCAGATCTGACGCCTCCGACTGCAGGCCCCTGCTTTACGGAGCTCCCTGGAATGGGTCTGGTCTGGTGCGAGTTCTTCTGCTGAGGTTTCTGGCCCAGACCAGCTGAGCTCGAGGGCCTGTTCCCTGACATACCCGACGCTCCCTTTTGACGCGACGACAAACTGTCTCTTCTGAAGCTAAGGTCACTTGAGGTGCTGGATTTGTGGGGGTCAGATGAGGGTCCTCTGGGGCCTCCTTGCTTGGTTGAGACCTGAGATGATTGGGCTTTTGAGGGGATTCTATTGTTCATGGCACCTGCTGTAGCAGAAGTGCTTGTTCTCGATCTCTCCCTGTCACTGGGCTGAACCTTGTCTCGACTCCTTTCTCTCTCGCTGTCAGGGGTCTTAGAAGAAGAAAGTCCTCGGTCCCTCGTCAGTGTTGGGTGTGGCTTCTTGCCTGGATTAGGGAGAGTTGGCTTCTCAAAGGAGGTCTTTTGTATCTGCGGTTTGTCGAGTTTCTGTTCTTTTTGTGAAGTGCTTTTTCTTACCGAGCTAGAACTAGACTGAGACTTGTTGTCTTTCTGGGTCACGTCCCTGGTTTTGTCAAGTCTCTTTGCTTTGCGCTCCATCTCCAGTTCCCGAATCTCATCAGCTGTCCGGAGCCTCTCCTCCTTCTTCACCACCTTCGGCTTTAGCTCGACTGGCTCGAACTGCTTCTTCTCTGCCAACTTGAGTAAGTCCGCAAAGTTCAAGGGAGGAGGAGCAGGTTTGGGCGGACCACTGGGCTTTTTAGAAAAAGACCTGCTGCCCCCGCCGCYGCTCGTCACTTCTGCAGCTACGGTTCTCCCTGGTCGTGGCAGCTCTTGCTCCGGCTCTGAATCGGTCTGTTCGTATTCATAATTATCTTCATCATCCAGTGGGTGGATCAAATTATTCCTGAATCTTTCAGCATCATTTGACTGATCRTGCTGCTTGTCAAGTTTTGAGGTCCTCTTTTTAGGACCCTCCACTACTGGGATACCATTGTAGCCTTTGAAATTGTCCTTCGTTCTGGAGGCCATGGCTCTTGCTTTGCGATCAGACTTCAATTCAACCCTTTTCGCTAACAGATCCTCCTTTTGTCTCTTCATTTCGATTTCTAAAAACAAAACAAAACAAAAAAAAAAACTGAAATATTTCAACACTTAAATTAAAAGCATCAGCTAGTATTTTTTTTATGTCTTAAATACCTTTCTTTCTTGATTCACTGTATTGCTTTTTCAGTAGTGCCTGCACAGCAGCAGGGTTCACACCTTTAGACTTTGGGTCCTTTTTGGGAGGTCCGGTTTGTAAACTGTATCTCTTCTGTACAGGAAAATGTCAAATAACAGATTTGAAATGAGTTGCTTTAAAAAAATGGAACTATGACCTATACAGTTTACATAAAACACGCATTTTCTGTTATAAAATGTTTTATTTACACAGTAATGTGGTGTATTTCTCAAAGGATTTCACAAATGAACATTACAGTATATAAGAACACAGTTTTATAAGCATAAAAGCGAGCATGAAGGTTCAAAATGTTGGCAGTTTAGCTTAAGAATTTTACAAACACAAATGGTTACGATTTGGGTTTTATAATTACTTTAGCAAACTGGCATGACATAATAAATATATATATATTGTAAGTGAYGGTCTTTAACTCACCTGTACATTGCTGTGGCCCTGGTTTTGAGACGCGATGTCCAATATGTTATCGAAATCCATCATTTTGGGAGCAGATGATGAACTCAGCTGCTGATCTGAAAGCAAACTAAACAAAACTCTGCCGACACTAGCCGTTTCAGTGAGTTACAAAACTAAACTTAGCTTGACAGTTACAAAAGAAGAAACACGCACAGTCAAGCAGGGTCTACGAAAWGGAAAACAAGCCGGCAAGAGGAGCCGTTTGTCGTATTTTACTTTATCGACTAAATAACGTGTGCTAGCAAAGCTAGCTAATCACACAGCTTACAGCTGTGAACGTCAGCTAACCGAGATTCTTGTCGGACTATATGGTTCTTTTTACAGAAAACACACGAAACCAAGACAAGATCCATCAAAAATGCGTGTTATTAAAGGCTACTAATACGAATTCTACGAGAATCCGTAGTTTATGAGCCCCAGGTGTCGATCGAAAAAAGCTAACACGATGTGTTAAGAGTGACAGAAGAGAGCCAAAGAGTGTGATCGGAAGCGAGATGATTCGTGACACGTACTTCCGTTTCAGTGTGTCTGAACCGGAACCATACCCCATCATAAAAATGAGTGATGTATGTTTACTATGGAAGAATTATCAAAATAATGGAGCTGCATGCTGCAGCGAAGTGTACTTGAAATAATGCGATAAGAGGCATTTAAAACTTTAACGTATATATTTAAATATTTGGAAATTATTTCATTACTTTTGTTAAAACTATATGTCTGAAATGGCGGCATACTTCACAATGAACCCATTCCATTTCCCAGGGTTTATTATGAGCGACTTAACTTTGTGTTTGTCCATCAGAACCGTTTTGACACTTGCCGAACACATGATGTCGCTACTTCTATAACAATCTCTTAAATTTCATCTAAACGTAAGGAATTTCCAGAGATTGAGGTAATAAATTTTTAATTTATTAAATTTATGCTTTAGATTAAAAACATGTGCAATAGGTTGCCTTCAGGTCCAGGCCTCCCTTGAAAAAGAGATCTGAGATTTCAATGGGATTTCTCCGGGTACTCCGGTTTCCCCCACAACACA